GAGGGATTTGCCAAGCCTATGAGGAATCAGATGCTAAGAATAAGGAACTGATGGAAGAACAGCTGAAGGATGCAGAAAGCAGGGGGATAATTCCCCTTGCTGATCTGGAGGCCCTATATGGAATTTCCTTAAGCAATCCCTTTGGACTGCATGAAAAAGGGGATTTATCCATCAAGCCAGTTTCCAGAAATAAAAGCTTGCATAAATTTTAAGTGGCTTATCTGTATTGTGGCCTCAGTTCTCACACCAGGATCAGTTTCTACTGGGCACAGGTGGGAGAGACACAAATGGCTGAAGAGACAGAACTGTTCCTTTCTGCTGCCCTTGATTGCCACAGCAACTGAGGCTAAGTGGCCCTCACCAGAGGCTGAATAGCTGCCCTGATCTGTCATTTGTGAGTCCCTGGGCAACAGGGGCATGAGAGTGTTCCAGAGATGCTGCTCTGCCCAAAAAATACTTCTGTGAACACCTCAAAAGGACAAAACTTTTAGGGGGCTATGGGATGCCTGAGCAGCACAGAACTGCAGTGAAGGGCCATGGCTGTAGTAAAGTTACACATGGTTTGTGTTTTATGATTTCTTCTGAGGCCTCTCCTTTTTGCTCAAGGTGTTTGCTTTGTTTCCACAGGGTGGATAATTTGTCTAAGTATTTTAGTGGGTTGAAAGAACAAGAAAAACGATTTAAGGTTCTGGAAGCCCAGGTAAGTAGTATTTTCTAGGTATTTATATCAGCTTTAGGATTTCACCTTCTTTCTCTCATTTAATCATGGTCTGGCAGACCCTACTTAGAGATAAAGGGACAAAAAACCAGAGCTGTAATATGGTTTCACTTTCCTTATTACCTTCTGGTACTAAACATATGTAAAGAAAAATTTCTAAACTCCTATAGAAAGGAGAAATTTCTTGCTCTCTTTAGCAGTTTACTTGAGAGTTTTTATTTCCTTTGTTAGGGATGCTTCTGGAATGAAACAATCTTTCCCCCTCCATTCTTGTCCTTTTCTTATTCTTTTTTTTAAATGTCAGCTTGGAAAATACACACATTCTGTCTCATCTGACCTAATCTTAGACATTGTTTTTTCTCATTTTCTTAAGACACCAGGTACCAGCACCTCAAAAGGGAAGTGTCCAGCATACAATTATGAAATCCAAATAATAGCAGGAAATTCTGTCTTGCACTTTTGATGACAAACCCTTGCAATATAAACAAACAACATTTCTTACACAGACTGAAAATGTTAAACCACCTGCTATGTAGTACAACTCTTATTGTTTTCTTTATCTCTACAACTCTTCTGTATAATTTTGGCCTTGCTGAAAGGTCTTAATCTTAATACTCCTCCTAGAATTTCCTGCTCCCTTCTTAGCCCTTTTATGGCTTCCTGAAAAAAGAGTCAAGCTATACAAGTCCAACAGAAACACACAGAACGCTTTAGTATGTTTGTGCTGGCTTGGGATAATGCAATATACTCACAAAAAAGAGCAGGTATTGAATCACTACCTATTTTGTAGATTTGCTACTGTACAGCTGTTATCTCCTCCATGGCAGAGGTTTTAACCAAAACCAACCTCTTGTGCACTCAACCAACTCCAAACTATACATGTAAGTACTGAAAATAATAATGGAAAAGCTAATTAATACAGCTGAACAATGTAGTTTAAAAAAATGCAAGGCAGAAAAAGGAAGATTGGAAAATAACTCCATTAGGAGATTCCTAGAAGTAATGGAAATATAAACAAGGAACAGAATTTTCATTCTTACTTCAGAATGAAAAAATTACCTTTTGTAAAATACATTTAAAAGCTTTGGGGCAAGGACTGTCACTTTGTGTGAGTTAGAACAATATCTCCCTGTTTGAGCACATAAACAAGTATCTATTTGTAACAGAAGATTGCCTTGGGGGTTTCTTGAGTCCATGACATAATCCTACTGACATACTACAAACGTATTTAAAATGCATAACAATAATCTTTTATAATAAAAACTGAGCAAGTATCCTAGGTTGTTTTTTTTTTTTTTAATTAGCAGAATTAATTTGCCTTTAGATCTGCACCTATTTCTGTCAGTTAAGAATCGTATCCTGTGTCTCAAGACTCCACTGTATGGAGTTTAAATCATTAGAGACAGGAACTATTTCTCAGCCACTGCAGGATATCCAACACATTAAAGATTTTGGATATCCTTCTTAATGACCTATTTCAACATCTACCTATTGCTGCTTATTACTCAAAATAGCCTCCAAAACCCATAAACTGAGCACATATACATATATATAAACTACATGGAAAAAAGAAGTAGCTGGAAAACTCAAAGTCACAACATGACAGGACCTCAAGTGACTCAGATTTGAGCTGACCTCAAGCTTTACTTAATTCTGTCAGAAGCTTGTAGAACTCTTATGTGAGTTGCTTCATTATCAGTATTCCAATTTAAAAAATCTCCATCCTGTAGCTGGCTTCCCAAACATTTTAATACCGTAACTGTATAAAAAATAGAAATTTAAACAGCTGAAAAATAAGCCTGTGTTTATCATTTACTGAGCAAATGCAAAGTAATACAATCTACAGTGTCTTTTTTTTCTAACATTTTGAAGTTTCTTAAGCAACTACTACTATGTGCCCCTTGTCCTAAGGCTTTTAAACAAGCACATGACTTTTCCAATCCTATTAGGTGTGAAGAGTGCCAACACGGAAGCGCCTTCACTGCAAAGAAGTGAAAGAGAAGAGCATGCAGATCAGTTTGAGATTGACATCGAATACACAGATAATTAAATTTTATTCTATTTCTTCACATTAAATCTTTTGTCCTACTGAACTGCTGTAGAAGTAAAATCCTCATCTCTTGAAGGCTTAAGGGCAACAAGCTCTCTCTGCTAAGCACTATCTGTACTTGACATTACTGAGACTTTCATGGTCTTGGTCCTTCAGCTCCTGGGGCTTTCTTTCCTGCTGCTCCCATAGCACTCGGTCCTTTCTCCAAAACCATTTCACAAACACCACTAAAGCTTTCTCCTCCAGGGTGACTCTACCACCTTATTTTCTAAATACCATTTGTTCTGCAGATACCACACCCTCAATCCACCATCATCACTGCCAAATTCCACACTTCCCTGTTCAAGGGAGTCTCCCTTTGGAAGGCCAATCATTTACACACTTAAAAACAAGCTCCTTCCTTGGCCAAGAAATCAAGCTTGTACTCCTGAGCTGCTTAGAAAAGGAAATAAAGAAATAGTTTCCAAGGAAAGGGCCTGAACACTGAAACATTACAATCCACACAGTTCCTGGAGCTCCCACAACTCCCAAACAATTGCACTCACCAGTTTCTCTTCCCATGCTGGCTCCTTTGCTAGTATTTCTTCTTAAAGGCTCCTCACTCAACCTCAGAGACTGCAATCACCTGGTTTTTGTTGTTCCCATGCCCCATCATAGCTGCTGCCACTTTCCTGCTGGAAAGGAGACTTTCCCTCCACATATCACACCACATGGAATACCTCTAGAGATCTAAGCATCTGGTTTCATTTTACTTTTCTTTCTCAAGGGTCAGGGGAAAAAAGAAATCATTTAAGAAACTTTAAAGCAAGAATGTGTACCAAGAATTATCCTGCAGACTTGGAATTTGGGCTGTTTGTGGCTTTTTCCATTACTTACACTGGCTTGTACATTTTTAGCATACAAAAGTTCGCTGGCTCAATTAGAATTTTGCAAGATACACCACTAAAATATCAATACCATCCTCTAAGGGGAAATTTCTTTGGAATAATATAAACAGCATCAGAAGGGGGAAGTATTGGGCTGTGTCTGACACTGATAAGCTTCAACTGCATTTCCTCACATATATAATATTGTCTCTATGCAGTGTAATTGTAGATTGCACAAAAGCTTTCTGTTACCAGAGGTGGAAAAAAAAATAATCTCAGCTCTGGTAAAAATGAGGCTTTTATTAACAGATATTAATCTTGTTATGGTGGCTTCATGAAGCAGGCATTTGTCCAGTTTATTCAGCTGTGCCCCAGGCCCATGGCTCCGTTAGCAGCAATGGAATTTTGACAGTCCTACCTGTTCCTCACCCTGGGCAAGCAGAATTCATAAACCCACTAAGTGTGTACTACTGAGCTGCATCTTTTTGTTAAGAAATAACATATATCTCACAACCAGCATTCCCTGCTCTTGGAGCAGCTTCCACTTTGAAAAGGCTACTATTTTCATTGTGCATGCCAATTATCCACTGGAACCCAAACTCTATGCATTTGGACTTGCTGAGTGTGTCTACTCCCATACACTGGAACAACCAATGTTGTAATGTGCATCCACCTGCACATTTTCATGAGAAAATACATTCTGCTCTGAAAACTACAAAGTGAGTTTAGAAAAACGGAGCACAGTTGCTCCTTTTACGCTGTTTTCTGCTTCTTCTGCCAAATGATGTATCTGTTCAAACACAAAATCCAAGTGATTTGGGCCTCCCAGTAAATTATTGTTAAGATGGACCTCCCCCCAGAAATCATCCTCTCAAACACCCTTCAGAGTTTAAGCAAGCACAATCTACCAAGAAATATCAGAAACTCTTTAGAATGAACCTTTCACTACACAGTTATAAATACTACCCTTGGGTTTGGTTCATATAGAATACTGACAAAAAAATGTCAGTTCAAACTGACCTGAACTAATTTGAGTTCCAAATCATGTAACCTTTCAAAGAATTTAATCTTTCAACCTCATTTATTAAATTTACTAATACTGTGGAAAAAACCCACTATATTTGACATTTCTTACAATGTGATTCATTGTATGAGATGACTCATCCTATGAAGGGATTAAATATTGTAAAATGATTGAAAATGTGAAAAATATGAGGTTTAGAATCTATAAGACTTGAGGGAGAAGTTAACAAGATGGCAAAGTGAGAGTAACACTTTAAAAATTTTTCAAGACAGTTCTGAAATAAAATAAAATATTTGGTAGAACTCCTACAGCTGCATTACTCAGGGTAGTTCAGAGATGAAATCAAGTTACAACTGAAAGTTTATTGTATCACATAGAACAAAAAAGTCTCCAGTTCTGGCATAAGAATCTCATTTCCACAAATACCCCAATCCACATACAGAATCAGCATGGAAGCAACACCTCCTGGAAAGGACATACAAAGGTGCAGATCATCACATCACATAACGGCACTGTTGTGCTTTCACCTTCAAAGGCAATGAGAGAAGGATGTTTTTAAACAAAAAAGTTAAAGGGTTTTCCTTCCTGGGGGAGAGCCAGGAGAAATCACATCCAGTGGAAGACTAAATTTTATTTTCATTGTTTAAACATCTCTACATAATGAGCTCATCACCTTTTCTCTAGGATTCCACAGGATTTGGGACCAATTCCAAAAACTGAGAGTTACTAGGAAGCCCTGCAGCCTTTTAGCTAACACTTCTGTTTCTTTGGATACTTCAGCTCCAAAGCAAGACCCAGGGAGCTGTTCAAGCAAACAAAGCACACTTTATTCCCTCCTGCCAGGATGCAACTATCCTGTTACCATGAGCTTCTCATAAACAGAAAGTCTGGGGTTTATTTTAGGTAGCTTAATTTCTAAAATATTAAAAGTTCTTGGTGGCTATGATGCAAACTGTTGGACAGAAAGCTATCACATGGTTTTCAGACCAGAAAAAAAAAAATGAACAAGACAAGTTCTGGCATGTCTCCAATGTGCTTCAATCTTCAGGACTCCTCCTCCTCCTCCCCTTCATCATCTACTTTAGGTCGGAAATTTTTCCTGCTTTTCTTCTTACTGCAGTGGAATCCAACTGTTCCCAACGATGGCTCTTCACCTGCACCACTAAGCCTTGCATCAGGTTTATATTCTGTGTTCTGGTCCCCCTCCATCATGCAGTCCTCCTCCTCTGCTGCCCTTCCACTGTCACTGTCTAAGTGTCCCAGCTCAACCTTATCTTCTTCCCTCAAGTCATCAGTCTTTTTAAGAGATTTTCCTTTCTGATCTGTTATCATCCTCTCCTGTTGATGTTTTCTTTTCCAGTCCATCAACACCTCTTTTAGTTGGTTTGGTGAAGACAATCCTCCCAGCTCCACAGCTGGAAGGGTCCTGGTTGAAGGATGGGGTGTAGCTATCTTGAGTAGCTGAGCTCTGTTGCTCCCCTCTTTTCTTCAAAGCACCTAGAAATTCCATGGCCACTGCCCTGTTAGTCTTGTCACTGGACTCAGAAACTCCCTCTAGGCTGTATTTGGTCCAGCGCTCTGGGTGTGCCACATAGTCAGGCACTGCAGGAGAGGTTTTGGGAGCCTGCACTGGTCTGCCTTGCCTTCCCATGTTTTCTGGGACCGTGTTACCTGAAACTGTGGTCGGAGGCAATGGACGCTTAAACCTCCCATCAACAACATTATCTTCAGGCATTGAGGGCACAGACAGCTTGGCTGCCTCTTCCAGGCAATCAAAAATGCTTTGGCTACGGAGAGAGAACGTAGAACTCATGCCCTTCAGGTGGAATGGCTGGACAGGAGATCTGTGCCTGCTGTTTGAAGAGTCAGGTGTCTCTCCTGATCTGAAATCCCCTTCCTCTACAGAGGGCTCCTCAGGAGATATTGTATCAACTTCTGCTTCACCTGGCAGTCCCAAGTCATCAGAGTCAGAATCGCTGAGTGACACTGTGTCTGAGGGCAGAGCTCCTTCGTAGTCTCTGGCACCATCAGCCACTATCCCCAGAAAAGGCTCACCTGCCTCCTGGTCTCCCATCTTCGAGCTGTCACTCCACTGAGGTCTTTGATGTAGGCCCAGGAACAACTCTAAATACAGTTTTCCAAATGCTCAGCAAGTTTAGTGCCTAGAATACAAAGGAGCATAAAAACTTAACTGTGAAATGAGAACCAAGAATGAGACCATCATTCTGTGTCATGCAAAGTAATTATAACTGCAATATACCAGTTAGCTGTGCTTCAGGGATTCCCAAGCAATTTTGCTTCAAATGAAAACATTATTTAAGGAATGAATGCACATTAAAATTAAAGATTTACACAAGACTGAATACAAGAATATGAAGTAATTGAAAATAATGCTACTGAATTTCATTACAGGTTACATCAGGTCCAATTACCAAAAGATGAACATAAAGCTCTTGAGTTTATCTGAATTCCCCAAAGCTTCTTATACATCTTCCAAGAGACAGCAATGACCTCTGCATATTACACCCTGTGTTTATTCACACTGTAAAAACCCACAAAAACACATCCAATTTCTCAGGCTTTGATTTGGCCAGTGCAACCCTTATTGCATTAGCACTGTACCTGCTGTCCCAACAGCCATCATGTTCTGCCTGTTACAAAGGACACTATCACTGATCCCCATCAGTGACAGAAAACCCACAAAAATACCAGGGCCACTGTTCCAAGTCTGCTTTAATGTGGCAAAAGTACAAGCTCCAATCCTTCCTTTGGCTTTATGCTCTCAAGTCATTACTAGATTCCAGGAAAACGAGCCAGCTCAAGAAATCAATCCCATTGGATAAAGAAAACTAATTACACATGCCATGCTCGCACATGGGAACAAGGAGAGGCTGCGACCACAGGCCTGTGAGAGCTGGCCCTTCTGTCAGTAAATGACAGCGTGATTTGAAGCCTGACATTCAGGAGCAGCTGGAATACCTGACAGTGCCACCTGCTTGAAGGGACCCTCGCTGAATTCAGGTGGTTGATGATCAAGCTACCCATTTTCTGGGAAATTAGAAACAGAGCTGGCGCACACACACGTTTTGGTTCAGCTCATGTGAGTTATGGAAACAGCTCTAACATATTATTAGAATAAGCTTGACTACCTAATTATAGGCTCTTCTGAAATGATGCAGTAAACAGACATCCAAAGTCTGTTAGTCACTCACTTTCTCTTGAGACTGAGTCAGCTTCCCCTCCTGAGGGTCAGTTAAAGCCACCAAAGATCTCAGCACTTCCACCCTAGAAAACAAACATTTCCATCATGATACTGGAAATGTAGTTTTAAAAATAATTCTGTCCCCCTGAATTTCTAAAGATGCAGAACAGGGTTCTAAATCTGACACAAACTCATGGTGGTATAAAAGTCTGCAGATATTACTGAATTTTTGGCAGAAGAACAGCACACAGCCTAATAAGGCAGGCACCACTATATTTACCCAGTCTCCAAATTCACACTGCCAACTTTATCCTGCAGAATGGAAGAGAGGTTTTAAAAAAATTCAAGCCGTAATTTGCATGTGCAGAAAGCCAGTACTAAATAAACAGTATTAAATGCAGCTAAAAAGATACAAAAATAATACTTATGCACTGCAAATATTAAGTGCTGCTAAGTATAAAGACCATGGGTAACACATGTTTCTATTTTCAAAGAAAGGTCATGTTCAAAGTTAGGGTCAGATTTTCATGAAGTATAAAACACAGAGAACCTTCTGAGGAGTGCTATGTTCCATGTCAAGTCTGGCTGTCTTTGACAGAAAGGATCTGACAGCTGCTTTTGAAAACACTGCCCTCCATGTAACCCCTAGCAGGAAATAATCTTCTTAAATGATACAGTCTTCTGCTTAGTTTTGGAACACATGAAAAGTAACAACTACAACTCGGAAAATACCTTGAAGTGCATAATTAAATGAAATAGTTGTTTTCAGATGGCAATAGAAGTGTTCATCATGGGCATCTCTTGGCTGAGGGCACTTACACAGAAAGGAGAAATTCTGCTGCTAAGGAGATGTTTTAGCCTTAACGAAGCGGCCGAACATGCTGGCCCTTAGAGTACCCCACACTCACAGGTTTGTTACGGTGACGTGACCGCAGCACGACTCGGAGAGGAGGATGTCTCTCCGGATGGGAAGGTTCCCACTGGGCTCCTCCATCCTGCTGTTGCTCACACAGACTCTTGCTGCTGCCTCCTGCGAGGAGGAGGGAGAAATCAGTCACCGCACACCACGGGCCTGCTCTCACGGCGCCGAGAGCGCCGCGCCAAAGCTCGGGACAGGGATCCACAGGCTCCGCTCCAAGGAACGGGGAAGAGGAACAGGGAAAGGAACATGGGTCACGCGGAGGGCAAGCTCAGGGTGCAGCCCCAGCCGTACTGCCCCTCGGCCCCAGGCCCCAGCGCCCTTCGCGGCCCGGGATGCTGCTGGATACGAACCGCCCGCACCACACGGGTGCCGCACCACACGCCGGCCCTGCACCCCGGGCACCGCCACCCGCCCGGACACACAGCGCGAACCGCCGGGGAAGGGAGGGGAGGGGGAGAAAATGGAAAGGGAAACAAGCCCCCGTACCCCGGCACCGCACAGCCCCAACACCTTCCACAGCAGCTGCCGGCCTTGCCGCCTTTCCCACCTCCGCTCCTCCGCCCACTGCCCGCGGCGCGCCGGGACACCGAGTCCTTGCCAGGCTCCTCGGAGCGGCCACAGCGGCGACAGGACCACAACTCCCGGCGGGGAAAGCGGAGCGGAAGGGGCCGGAGCCTGCCTCCCCCTCCCCGCCCCGCCTCCCTGGGGGCTCCTGGGAGTTGTAGGCGGCCGCCATCCCTCGGCGGGGGACATTTTGCGAGCCGGGGAGCGGGGCGAAGCGGTGCTGAGCGGCGGGACTACAGCTCCCAGGGCGCACCGCAGCGCCGACATTTCGCAGCCTGTGCGGGGCCGGGCTCGGGGCTCGGTGCGGGGCCCGGTGCCGGGCTCTCCCGGAGAGCCGCCGGGGCCGTGAGGGGCAGGCACGGCATCACCGCCGCCCTCCGCTGTCGCAGTCTGGGAAAACATAAAACCCCATGTCACAGCTTTTGTTCTCATCGGAAAAGCAAGGCTTGGCCTCCACGAACACATCCGAATTTTTTTTTGTTTTGTTTGTTTGTTTGGTTTGTTTGTTTATTTATTTTTTGTTTTGTTTTGGTTTTTTTGTTTATTTTTTTTCTCTTACATGTTTATTCTCAAACCAGAAAACCCCAAGTCACTTGAGGCATAAAACCACTCTCCATCCAAATAATAATAAAAAAAAAGTTTCCATTCTCCATCCCAGAAGAACATTTTTTGCTCGTGTGTCAAGATGTGGAACTCTGTCTGAAAATGTTTTATTGGCACCGGCCAAAGACGCTTGATTTTTGTTTTTCCCCTTATTTCAGCAAAAAGTTCAAAATTTCAGCGCAAATACATGTCCCAAGAGGCTTTAGCATTTGGCTTGTTTTCCCTGTGTTTAGGAAAAAGGTTTTGCTGTGCTGGGGTGTTGTGCCAGCCAATGTTGCGGCTGTGGAGGCTTCAGTGGCTCCCTTCAAACCGGGCCTCACCGTGACTCACCCGTAATATAAACTGCAGCCACCTCATACGCATCCTCAGCTTTTAAATACATACTTCTGCCTGCTGGAGTGTTGCTAATTACAGTAATTTATGACACAAGGTCTGTGTTCGGAATATACTTGGCAGCAGTGATGAGGTTATTGCAAAATGTCTTCTGTCTAGCTGGAGTCATGCTGTAGTTTTATAACAGCTCTAGAGGTGTTTCCCCATTTGGTGATTCTATTTTTTAAATGTATATGCATATGGTGGTATGGTCATAGGCATTCAAATGGGTATCCAGATGGAGGGAGGAAAGGAAAACATGAATCTTGTAGTAGGTGAACAAGAATGGAAAGGAGAGCAGTAAACAGCAAACAAAGAGTAAACCTGGGTAAGGGCTGCCAGTGCTGTGTGACACACTGTGTCTAGGGTGCTGGGGAAACAGCAGGAGAGTCTCTGAGCTTCATAAGGAGCGGGCAGAAAAAAGAATGTGCAGTAAGCAGTGGCACGTCCCATTTCTGTAAAAGTGGAGACAGGCAGGTACAACAGACTGGTGCAGACAATGGCACTGCCTTGTTTTGATCCTTGGTTCTTTGTTAGATCAGAGAGATCTAACAGGAGAGGGCAACACCACCTCCAGTGTCGCAGTCACCGGTGGATGTGGGTGCCTTCAGGGGACAAGCCCCATGTCTCCATTTCCAGAGGCTACAAGTTCTCACGTTTTGCCTGGATGCTGTGTGTATTGATGACTAAGGAACCTGAATGTATCCTCTTCCTCGTTCCTTTTTGTTTTATTCATTAAATTAGCTTGGCTGGTTTGAGCATGGTGCTAATAAAACCCAAGGCTGTGGGTTTGATCACCATACAGGCCATTTACTTAAGAGTTGGACTCCAAGATCCTTGTGGATCCCTTCCAACTCAGCCTATTCTGTGATAGAATCTGTGATATTTAGTATCACAAGCAGAGAACCGAGGCTGAGCTGCTCGTTCTCTGGTGGCTGAGGACAAGGCAGCTTGCAGCAGTGGAAAAGCTGGTGTGTTGGGACTTTAGCTATTGCTTGGCGACAGCTGAAATAAAAATAATGAGTCAGAGTCTGAAGACCAGGAGATGGTAAAGTGTTTTCCCCTTGCTGGCCTGAACTGAGGTGGCTTGAAAAGGGGGCTGGAAGGTAGAACTGAGCTGCAGCACAGGCCACCATCCAAATGAGCAGGCTGTATCCATCATGCGGGCTCCAAGGAGCTGCTCATTTGTAGGGATGGCTCCATGTGTCTGCAGGAAACCAGCACATCCGTGTGTGTGGGGGTGGCATGTGAAAATGCACAGCAGCCTCAGCCCCATCATGAGCGCCTCATCCTCCTTTCCTGCAAATAAATCTGTCCTTTGGCCCCGTCCAGGAACTGTTCCTGGCAGGCTCCTGCTGCTGTTCCTTGGAACCTGGGGTACCACTGGTTCCTCTCCTCATGGCTAATAGCAGCAGGCCATTCCCCAGCAGCCACCCAGATCCTGCAAGCCAAATGGAGCAATAAGATGCATTTTTCAACATCTCCTGCATCTGGAAGGAGTGTGGTTACTCAGATGTGGCCACATGCAGCTGATGCTGGAGCTCTTGAGGGGAGGTGGGGTGGGAAATGAGTATTTTCCTGCAGGCAAAAAGGAAAACCAGAGTCATGGCCAGCGCAACCTTGTCTGCTGGGAGAAAGCAGTCATACCAAACCAGACTGGTACAGACTGAGGGAAATAAATGAGTTGTCCTCTCCCATTTGCCAGAATGAAATCCTACAAATGGCCTTGAAATCTCTTGTGGGGTGGGTTTTCAGAATTCAGTGCTTGATACCACCTCTCTTCTACATTGAGCTTCGCTTACCTGTTTTTACTTCATACTTCCATTTGGTCCTGCAAGCTGATTAGATTTATTTCAGTGTTGTTTACCCATGTTGGTGCTATTTTCCCCTAAGGTAACTACATAAAATTAGTTCCTGTGCAGTGAGTTTTAATGCAGGCAGGCTATGAAAGTCTTTATCAACTCTATTCTTCACAATAACAATGTTATTGCCAGCCTGTAGAGGACCTGCAGGGAGACACCACAACCCCTTTTTTTTTGTTAGAGACATTGCATGTGTGGGAGGGAACTGAAGTCCTTTATGAGCAAAATTAATACTCTCTGCAATTAGTTCAATTTTTAAAAAGAAACAAAACCAGTTGGGGGTGTCTGTTAATTTTGATTTAACTACAGAATATTTGCACTAAGACAACCGTTCTCCCAATCTTGCTGCTTTTTCCTTTTTCCAATCCCTGCCCCAAAGTGCCTGATACTAAAAAAAAGTGTAATGAAAGGCTGATAAAGGTCACTGGAACCAGCTGATAGGCCTTGAAGTTAACATTAATGAAAAAAACCCACAGGACCCTAAAACTCCCCAGACCTCTTGTTCCAACAAGACCTATGGGAGCTCCATCAACCAACACTGAGCCTCGCATTAACAGCATGAATCCTGGCTGGAGGAAATCTCAGTGGTTTGCCTGCAGATAGCAGGCAGAGTGTTGTGTGCACACCATCTCGCCTGGCCCAACACCAACACCTCTCAGTATTCAGAAAAGCTGTGTGCTGGCATGAGGGAATGCCCTAGCAAAGCAGGGCCAAGAAACACTTAAAAAAAAAAAAAAAAAAAAAGTGAAAGGTGTGATTAAACCTTATCTGTGATTCTGTAATTAGAAGTGTTACTTGCAACCGTTGGCACTTGAGCTGGGTCATCTAAATCCAGTGAGAAACACCAGGCAATCCACAGTAGCTGCGGAGTTTATATACCCTCTAATGTGTCTGCAAGTGTGAAAACAACGTGGGTTTCAGCAGTTTGCAGCAGTTTCAACACCTGGGAGGTGTTTTCTGTTTGCTCCAGGTCCCTGAGTACTGAAGTGAAAGCATCAGGCTGCCAGAGGTCAGCTGAAGGGGTCACACTGAACAGCACTTCTGCATCCCTTTGCTTAGGTTATGCCTTGTGCAAGGCAATGTGATGCTCCCCAGGCTGAAACTGAGGAGTGGTCAGGAAAAATATGCAGCCTCTACACCTAGTTCAGGTGCACAGTGTGGTACCTATGGGACTTGGGCTTCCTAGCCTGTGTCTACCACTCAGTCCAGAGCTGCTCAGGTAGGTAGTTGTTTCCCTCTCCCCTTCAGCACCCACTGGTGGCAGATGTTTCCTCCCTCGGGACTGTAATTCCACTGGTGCCGACTCCCTGGTGCAGCCACAGTTCCTACCGCAACCCCGACAGTGAATGAGATTGCTGAAATAGTCACCTTTCTTCCTGCCCTAACTGGAAGGGCCGTGCTGTCATGCCCAGCAAAGGAAACAGTGGATCAGAGCAGGAATGTGAGCACAACCACTAAACACATCCTTCATCCCTGAGCCTGGCTAGCCGAGCTGGCAGGCACAGGAGGGTGCGGCCACATCCAGCAGTGAGGGTGCTTTCCTCTGCAGAAACCTCCACCATAAGCAGCTCTGGCATGGGAGAGCTGGCTGGATTCATTGCCTCCCGTGAGAATACTGCAGCTCTTGGTTACAGCTTCGATAACCTCTGATTAGGGAATGGCACAAGCAATTTATGCATGTTAATCACAGCTGTCTTAGTATGAGACAATTAGGCTCATTGCTACTTAGAAAACAAACAACCCAGAAAAAGCTTCCGAAACAGAGCTCGTCAAAGCAAAAAATACCTCCAAAACTTCTCATTAGAAACACTCTTAGGAGGTTTTAAAAAAAAATAATAAACCAGTTTGGGAGGGAGAAGGAAAATAATTTCCACTGGAAAAAATCCTGGCATGGTCTAGTTTAGAAAAATTCATGCTTGTATTTTTAATTCCTGAAAAATCTTGTTTCACAAAAAAAAAAAAAAAAAGATTCCACAGTCACATTCCTAGGCAGCGGAATTCCACAGTAAGGTCTCCAGTGACTTTCCAGGTCCTTCAGACCTCTGGAGAAAAATGTTAAAGAGAAGTGTAAGCCAGGGTTGTCCGTGCACTCTGAGCACAAAGAAGCTGCAAGCACTCCA